GTTAGACAGCATATTTAATATTTTTCCATAAGATAGTTATATTTTTAGTAGACAAACGTCCGCTGCACAGAACTGCGCAAAACGCATGATCACACCGGCTACCCTAGTGCGCTTCGCTATTTATTTCATGATCCTCCCAAGTAAAAGTTCGTTTCTTTATGAATAACCTGAGAGATACTGATTTTGTACATCAGAGAGAGGTGGTGGCAGTTGGTAAGCGTGCCTTTAACAGACTGTGAGACCTGTTTCAAGCGTAACTTTTCAGGCGGAATCTTTCATTAGTTTGTTAAAATTTTAACGAAATTCTAGAGTATTTTAAAGCAGTTACAAATTTTGACTTTTAGTTAAGCGAAACAGGCCCTTGGAAAAAAGGCACCACAAATTTTGTAAAAAAATGCTAGCTTCTGGGACTTTTTGTGTATTCCCATTGCTTTAAAGAATGCTTTACAGCTGCCAGCGAATATGGTTTCCATTTCCTTTCGTGAAAGAATCTCTACCTAGCGTTCCTTCCTACAAAAATACATGGCAGAGCTTCAACCAGTTCGGAATTTCCTTGATCAGCCTTTATAATCGCTGCCGTGTTTCCCACGCTGCCATTTTTAGACTTCGATGGAGTATCGACTTATCGAGTGAATATTTCAATGAAAAGAGTTGTCTGGAACAGATCATTTGTCCAAAAAAATTTGAAAAATTAGAGTCATTCTGCCGATGATATTTAGATGAAATTCAGTTGGTCTGGCTAAGAATTAGTCGGCTGATGGCCGATAGAATTCGAAGTTAAATAGTTTCCATCCAGTGTTGCCTGTCCGCAAGTTTGATAAAGCACAAAGCAATATACCTGTCGTGCTTAGGTGCGGCGTGCAGTAGTAATCTGCTCTGCTGCGCAGCGATCTTTTCCAGCATTTTCTTTGTATATCTGACTTGTTATTGACGGATGTTGCAGTCTTTAGTTAATTTAATTAAAACTAAATTCAAAGTTAAGGCAGTTGAACTGAAGGGTTAGGAGGCTTCTCGATTTTCAGAAACAGAAATTTCGAGAAGCATTCACTGGACGGGTAGCGATGATCACTGTTGGTGTGAGCGTTATCCTTGTTATTGCTCTGTCTGGCTTCCGAGAAAAGGTGAGTGCATTAGCCGTCAGCCAAGCAGATTTTTTGCTAATATTAGCTTTCCACTACATTTTTGACAGTAATAATTAAAAAAGCTACAGAGATTATTTCCCAGCCAACTCTTCGATTTTGCAAAACCTGTGGTACTGTCGACACTGTCATCATTAGCGTATAGTGCACGTGACGAAGGTTTTTACCGGTCTTCTTCCCGAATCCGGTAAATTCGGCACAGAAAGTTCACCGCCTGAGCCATTAATGGGGCAAAAATGACCGCACGAATGCTTGCGTTTGTTTCCTAGTAATGAATATTTATAATTTGCCAAAATGCAGGGCCATTGATTTGGGTAAGCTGAAAGGGTGGGAATTACACTGTGTACGGAAGAAGGCGTTTTTCTGTTTTTTTGATGCCTTCCTGGTGACTGTTAAGTAGTTCTGTTTCGAGGGCTGGTTTTTACAGAAAATGAGACAGCTGGAAAGTGAAAGGAAGCAGACAATTGGCAAAGCTCGAATTGGTGGTCCATGGGAATTGCTTGACACTGATGGTAATTTGGGAGGATCTGAACAGCTCAAAGGCAACTGGCTGCTGCTGTATTTCGGTTTCACACATTGTCCCGATGTTTGCCCGGATTCGATTGAAAAAATGGTCGAAGTGAGCGATTTTTACTGCCTTTTCAATATGCACTTAAAAGTCTTCGAATTTTCCGCGCATGAAAAGATATGCCTGTTTTACGAAAACTTATTTAAGTGCATCGCTTCCGATTTCGGAATCCGCCGTAGCTTGAAACTGAAAAACAGCAATACGACAGAAAGAAACGCTTTGGCACAGTCACTATATTACGGCATGTGTTTTAGGTTGTAAATATACTAGAAGCCAGCGAAGAAAAGATCAAAGTTATTCCGATTTTTATATCAGTCGATCCAGAACGCGACACCACGCAGCGAGTCAAAGAATATTGTTTGGAGTTTTCGCCAAAAATAAAGGGCTATACCGGCTCACCGGAGCAGGCATGTGTTTGTATTTTTCAAGGAAATTTTTCTGGTCCTTGGTTTTTATAAATGAAAATAGTGACGAAAATAAGCATTTTAGTAATTGTTGGTAGTAGTGTCAGAATACGATAATAATAGTAGTAATGCCGATGAAGAAAATATTAGTGACAAAATTAAAT